GTGTCCTGAGAGCGTCACATGATATACCATTAGCAGGTCACCTCGGTAAGAAGAAAACCCTGAACAGAATCAGACAACGCTTCTACTGGCCTGGAATGAGTAAAGATGTAGCCAAATACTGCAGCAGCTGTGAAACGTGCCAGAAGACATCGAAGYACTGTACAAAATTCAGAGCACCGATGCAATCTATGCCGATAATAGAAGAGCCTTTTTCAAGAATCGCGATGGATATAGTTGGCCCGCTGGAATGGAGTAAGTCTGGAAACAAGTACATCCTTGTTATCTCTGATTACGCCACAAGATACCCAGAGGCCATAGCTCTACGAAGTATAGAAGCAAAGAAAATCGCAGACGAGTTAATCAAGCTATTCTCGAGAGTTGGAATACCAAAGGAAATCTTAACCGATCAAGGCAGCAACTTCACATCAAAACTGCTACGTGAAATTTACAAGCTACTCGAAATCAAAGGTATAACAACGGCACCATACCATCCACAGACAGACGGACTGGTAGAAAGGTTCAATGGAACATTAAAAGCTATGATAAAGAAATTTGTGGATACAGACCCCCGTAACTGGGACGAGCTACTGCCTTACCTGTTATTCGCATACAGAGAGGTCCCACAAGAATCCACTGGATTCTCTCCATTTGAATTGCTCTATGGATGGAGAGTTAGAGGTCCACTAGATGTGATGAAAGAGATGTGGTCAGGTTCAGTGACAGGCCCGAAGAGTGTGGTTTCTCACGTGTTAAACATCAGAGAGCGGCTAGCGTCTATTACCGATGTAGTGAAAGAGAATATGAAAGAGGCCCAAAAGACACAGAAAAGGTGSTATGATACCAAGTCTAAGGTCAGAGAGTTCAGCCCTGGTCAAGAAGTACTGTTATTGCTACCTACAAGCTCTAATGCACTAGAAGCAAAATGGCAAGGTCCATACAAGGTAGTAAGAAAAGTGGGTCCCGTAGACTATGAAATCCAAACAAATCACAAGGGACGCAAGTTGAAGGTYTACCACGTCAACCTCCKCAAAGAATTCAAAAGAAGGAACATGGAGGGATTTGTASSAATCAATGACATCACYGGCGAAGAAGGAGAAGATACTGATGWARCATGGTCAAASAACKACGATCAAAAGGATCTTTGGATCAACGACAAACTCAGCAAGGATCAAAAGAATCAGCTGAAAAACCTGTTGAAGGATTACGACACTGTCATTAGCAACAAACCAGKAAAAACATCTGTGATAGAGCACAACATTGAGATGAAAGAAAACGTGAACCCGGTTCGTCAAAGACATTACCCTATTCCTCAAGCTGAGCTGGACACTGTTAAAGAAGAAGTGAAGGCGATGATTGATCTAGATGTGATTGAGGAGTCTAACAGTCCATGGTCGTCACCATATGTAAGAGTACCCAAGCAGGATGGGACAGTCCGCTTCTGCATTAACTACAAAAAGGTTAATAGCCTCAGCAAGTTTGATGCATACCCAATGCCCTTGATAGAGGAGATCATCGGGCGAATAGGACCCTCTAAATTCATAACCAAGCTAGACCTTTGTAAAGGCTACTGGCAAGTACCTTTAGCAGAACACTCCAAAGAATTTACAGCCTTCTCAACTCCAATGGGATTATTCCAATTCAAGTATCTACCCTTTGGTCTACACGGAGCACCAGCAACATTCCAGCGAATGATGGACCGCTTATTGAGAGGAAAGGAGGAGTATGCAGCAGCATACATGGACGACTTGGTTGTATTCAGCAGACAGCAGCATACATGGACGACTTGGTTGTATTCAGCAGAAGTTTTGATGATCATCTAATTCATCTCAAAGACATCTTGGAAACCCTAAAGAAAGCTAATCTAACAGCAAAACCAAAGAAATGTAAATTTACGCAAACACACAAGTCAATTACCTTGGATACCTAGTTGGAAATGGAGTACTAGAACCACAACAAACCAAAGTGAAAGCTATACAAGACTGGAAGCAACCCAAAACAAAGAAAGATGTCAAGTCCTTTCTTGGTCTCACAGGTTACTATAGAAAGTTTATATCGGATTATGCAGAAGTAGCAGCCCCCTTATCAGATCTGACACAAAGAAGATGCCAGAGAAGGTAGTATGGTCTACTGAATGTGACCAAGCATTCAATACCCTGAAATCAGCCTTATGCTCTCAACCAGTTCTGATTAACCCCGACTTTGGCAAGGAGTTTGTGCTACAGACCGATGTTTCAGACAGAGAATCTAGAGTGTACAGAGATTCAATAAAGAGTTCACAACAGGTCAAGTATCGGTTCGTGACATATTTTTCATTTTAACTTGATTATATCTTTTAACTGAAAGATTTCAACAAACCTACAGCTTTACGATTATGGATGCTATTTGGGAAGTGATATGCAGAC